CAAAATGGCAAATAGCGAAATGCATGATTGGTGCGCAGAGAAAGCGGGCTACTGGGATGCAGCAATCCAAGGGTCCTCGGCTCTTCGCGCAGCGTTACTTTCTATGTCGCTCGACGAGACCAGCGCGAAGCTCAAAGGATCACTGCGTGGCACATTCTACTTGGACTTAGAAAAAATTACGACAGCGTGGATTTGAGCATCTTGGTCAAACGAGCCATGCAGCTTGACTACCCGAAGGTCAACTTATACATGAGTATGTGAATGGATATATCCCCGCGAGTGGTACGCGCATGCCACGATCATGCTGGACCAATATGCCCATGGAACGGCATAGCGGCTGGACGTGCAGCGGCAAACCACGCAGCGAGGGCCATGATCTACATTATCTTGGGCATCACCCACAGTGCGGCGCCGCTTGCCATCACGGGGGGGGTTGTTGATGGCTTGCACACGAGAGCCGAAGGTCAAGCCGAACAGTTCCAGGAGCAGTTCCCAGTGGCGGTCGGTGTGCTTGCGCAGGCTTGCCTGGGCTCAAAGCTGGTGGTCTCAGGAAAGTCAGCGCTCCTCGCGAAGTGCGACGTCACCAAGAAGTACATCGTGAAACACCTCACAGGCAAGGGCATCAGCATTAAGACTCCCAAGTTCGTCAAGGACCTGGGCATAGATGCGGCACTGGGAAGGCAGCGCGTCACAGCCACGCGAACTACCAGGACTAAGCAGGCAAAGCTACGCGCAAAGCGTGCCAGGATCTTCAGCAAGCAGAAGGGCAAACGGCGGCGAAGGACGGCGATGCTCAATTCCAACCTGAGAGCCAAGCCGAGCTACGATTGGCCAGTTACAGGGCTCAGTCCAACTGCAGCGCGTGAAGCGCGAGCTCAGGCGGCAGAGATGGTTGGATTTACAACTGGTGGCATATGCACATCAACAACCAACATCATTTTTTACGGCGAGAGCGAACCAGCTACAGCATGCCTGCAGCGACAAGTACGTGAATGGGTACAGATGTGGCAAAAGGATACCTCCGCACATCAACGACTACGACAAGGCTGGCAAGCTAATATCGAGCGTCTGGCCCAGATGCGAACCCGTGGAAAGTGGAACTCAGTGACAGGACCAATGGGGGCACATATTCTCTCATTGCAACAGATGGGGTGGAATCCACGCATGCCAGATGAGTGGGAGGACGTTAGTGGCGAGACGCGGAGGTTCCAGAGTGAGGGAGAGCTCGACTTTCGCGACATCATGAAGTCCATCACCAGGGACATGCAAGCTCAGCTCTGGGCCAAAGCAGCGGACCACTACTACGGCAAGGTCATGCAGCACGGGATGGGCACCACCATGCTCAAGAAGACGCTCCAGAAACTACGTAAAGCTGACCGAGCCCAAGAAGCAGGCGCGTTAAAAGCACTTGCCTGTGGCACGATATGGACAGGACAGCGATGTAAAACAACAGGATACCAGACAGATGGAGTTTGTCCGCGTTGTACTGAGGCGCCTGACACGCTGAAGTACAGGATCTACGAGTGCGAAATGAACGACAACCTCCAGATTGACGCGGTGGTCAAGCCACAGCCGTTATGTCAGAAGGCCTTAGAGGAGATGCGCGACAACCCAGAGACGGAGGCATACTGGCTACCAGGGCTACTCCCCAAGCGCAGGAATCCTGTACCTGATCCACCAGCATGGGGTGATTGGAATGGCAGCTACTGGACGACAGCAACAAGAGGACCCAACTTAATAGCAAGCAATTTGGTCACGACGGATCCCGTTCAGTGCAGCATGGCTTTCGTAGATGGATCAGGCACCAGCAACGACATGCGCATCCATTGAGTGGGATGGGGCCTCACATTACAGCGACGAGATGAACGATGGAAGCGGCCAGGGCAAGCGCACATGTGGTGCCCCAACGCCCTCGTGGCACAAGGGGGCCCAACTGAGTTGTGCCATGAAGCAGGGGCTAGTGCACCAACGGGCACAGAAGCGGAGGAGCAGAGAAAGGGCATCATGCACGACCTTGGCGTATGGGCAGCTACATGGACGGTATACATCGACCTAGACGAGGCCAGGAACCAAGCTAGTTGGAAGATGTGGTGTGAACCGTACATGGAAAACGATCTGCGACAACCAGAACAAGCAGCACTACGACAATTACTCAAAGCAAGCTACCAGACCCGAAGCACTAGTCAGATCGCGAAGGACCTTTGTGATATGCAATGGAGATCGTCCAAGAAGAAGCGGAAAGACGTGTACGATCATTCCCTCACCCTTACGGGCTGGGAAAGAGAAGCATACATACCCCACTGGTTCGACAGCGTAGCGGACATCAAGGCCAATTTCCGCGAACTATTGCAAGACCGAGCGCCCACTTTCGACCAGGAAATGCCTGAAAATTATGAAGACAATGATGAGGACCGACCAGCAGCCATGCATGTGGTGGCCCACGAGATCTACAAGGCCAGCCTGCCGAACGACAGCACGGGCTTCATTGAAGGCACAGACCATATCGGGCTCTATGGCACCGTAGATGGAGAACAAAATGTACCTGCTGCTGCACATGCAGGACTTTTCTGGGCACTGGCGCTGACGCGAGGCCCGTTATTGATCATCACGGACTGCCAGATGGTTATGAATGGCTGGACCCTCAAGTATTACGAGCAGCCCCAAGGTGCTCAGCGACCATGGTGGGAAAGGATAAAACTTATGCTCAGCAGGCGGCCTGGCGGTGTGTATGGAGTACGTGTCCAGAAGTGCTTATCCCACCTCGACGGCGAATCGGTTAAGCAGGCTGGCCAGGAGTTCCACATCAGCATGGGCAATGCGATGGCGGATACGTTGGCGCAACGAGGAGCAGAAGAGGCAATGGCAGAAATACGGCAGGAGGTCAAGGCGTTGGTGGAAGTGGAGACTACACTTATGAGGGCCCAAAGGCGGGCAGCAGCGATCATCCACGAGGTGTGGAAGGATGCGGACCCCACCAAGCTTGAGAGGCCCAAGCAGATGCCTAAGAAAATAGCAAAGGAAAGAAGAGATCAGATCGAGAAGGAGTCGGGCCACATAATGCGAAAGAAGAAAGGGCAATGGGTATGCCAAGAGTGCTGGCTAACCCCAGGCAAGTACAGCGTGGTCGACTGGATGAAGGCTAACGTGTGCATCGGGAGGCAGTACGAGACACACCGAGCAGATCATGGACATGCAGTCCGTGATCCCAACAACGAGCTGATTGAGATCGAAGACAAAGTGATCCACGACAGCCACAGCATTGCAGTGGCCCATGGGCAGTTCTGGTGCTGGAATTGTGCTGCGGTGGCTTCGCACAACGACTACGGACACGGCAGAGTGAACCTACTGGCGACGGAGTGCAGGAACAAGATCACGCAGAGCGGGACTACTGTACTTCGTCGGCTACGACAAGGATTACCACCAAAGGCTGGCCAGAATTGGCCAGATGGGACGATCCCGCCTAACGGCGGGCGGCTACCACGAGTTGCAGCTGGGCGACGACCTCGTGGTTGACCTCATGGCACGGGGCTACGGCCCCGCAAAGATACTCTGGCCTGGAGTGCCAGTGGGGTGGACGCCCGCCCTGCTCAGGGGGTGGGGTCGCGCCCCCTGAGAGCCCGCGCGGCCAGCGCGGGCGGGGGCCGCGGCGGCCGAGTCGACCGCGGAGCCCCTCGCTCGAATGTCCTCGAATGTCCACCTCCTTTTCCGCCGCCTCCTGATATTCCCTGCCATCCTCCCCCACGTGTTCCCCGAAGGGTTTCCACAAAGGCTGGGGAAACACATGGTCCGATAGCTTGAAAGAGCTCTTGCCACAACGCTCGGCCACAACGCTCGTTTTGGTTACAGGTCCCTGCCTGCCTCGGGCCCAGCCCGCCAGCCACCCAGAGGGACCCCAAACTAAATCTCGCATTGCTCAACTTGGCCCAGGATGGTCTGGGAGATGGCCCAGGATGGTCTGGCAGATGCCTCCATCTGGCCAACGATGGCCACGATAGCTCCAAGAGATCCCAAAATGATCTCTAGATGTCTGCACCCAAGACGGCCCAAGCTGCCCATGAAGCTCACATCATCGATTGTCCGTTGGCTGTTCGGTGATTGCAGCATTCTCGCCTTTTCAAGATTCCGACGCTCCAAGACGGCCCCACAGGCCCCCAAGATCGCCCCAAGAGAGCCCAAGAGGCCCCAGACGGCCCTACAGCGCCCAAAGAGGAACCCAAGACTGCCCAGAGAAGGCCCCAAGACGGCCTCCGAAGACCAAGGGATCCCATTGAAGCCACCAGAAGCCCCCAAGAGGCCCCCAGGAGGGTATTTTTGCATTCGCGGCGATAACAGACATTATGGGGGGGGCGGGGGGGGGCCCAACGTAACGCCCCCGCCCCCCACTGTGACAGACTGTGGTGCCGAACTCACTGCGGTAGTTCCGGGGCGCTATTGAGGGGCGGGGGAGCGTTACGTTATGGGGGGGGAGAGGGGAAGGGGCATAACGCGCGTTGGAGGTCACCAAGAAGCTTCACGAGGCCCCCGAGAGAAGGGGCCCCTTAGAGGTCCCCAGGAGACTCCCAGGAAGCCCCCAGAAGGCCCCAGGATGGCCTCAAGAGGCCTGTTCCTCCTCTTCATCCTCCTCCTCCTCCTCCTGCCTCTTCCTCTCCCACGTATTCCCCTAAAGGGTTCCGCAACGGCTGGGGGAGCGCGAGCATGTAGTCCAAAAAGGCGTCACCAGGTTTCGGCCCAATGTTTGGCCGCATGGGCCTTTCCCAAAGGCAGGGGGCGGCGGTGATTCGCCGTAGGCGTCTTCGATCTTACTCCGAGGGAATGGGCGCGCAGGGAGCAGACAGAAACCGCACGCTCATTTTCAACAACTAGCGCACCGAAGGAAACCTAGATGTTCGCTGGCTGCAGAAGCGGCGCCCGTAAATGGCGCGCAACACAGGAAAAGGTGGCGGGCTGTCGAGAAGCCACCTCGGCTGGCCCATCGACTGGCCCGGAGAGCGCTCGGGACCTCACCACGGTCCGAAGAAGCCGTTGGCGTTCGCGAGCACCGAGCCGAAGAAGAGGATGGTGATCGAGATCACGTAGTTGTTCCCGCCCACGCCCCCCAGGCCCACGGGCGGCGGGGGCGTGGTCGTCACCGGCGGGCCGCCGAAAAAATGCATCTCCACGGCGGGCGCGCGCTGCACCGCCCGGAGGCCCGCTGAGGCCGGGGACGAGGCGCCGACGAAGGACAGCACGAGGGAGCCCACCGACAGAGCGGCGAGGGCGGCGACAGCGCAGGCGATCAGCAGGGACGCGGAGCGGGCCATTGCGGCTCTGCTTCCAAGAGATCGCCCGGGAGATGCTTCGGCCAAAACGGCTGCGCACCGCTGACGAACGGCCGCCAGGCTGACCGGCAGTCCGCGGGCGGCCCGGGTAGCGACACGGAGCGGGCGAAGGACGGCCGTCACCACATCGGAACGCACCGACGACTCCGATTCAGCAAACTCCTCGGCGCAGCCTTACCCGAGACGAACTTGCTTACGTACCCGCCTGCGGTAACAACGCCCCTTCCATGCACTCCCCTTTTAGGCATGACTCCTCTCAATACCACGTTACCCAGTTCGGGCTTGCCTAAGAAATGGGTCCCAATTGTACCAGTGAGAGACGGCATGTTACATGAACGATGTGGGCGACCACCTTGGGATATTTCTCGGCGCGGGCCCAGCATGCGCGCAAGTATTTGAATATGGTCATGTGCTTGGTTGCAACGCGTTGCAGGGCACCCCACATGCACTGCGCGGCCATGCACTTGGAATGCGTTGTATGACTTTGCTCCGTTGGGTTTTGCGTTACGCTGGCTCTGTGCTTGCAATCCGTTGCTTGGCATTGCCCCGCAGGCAATCCTAATTCAAGACAGACTGCCCTGGACTGCCCTGGAGCATTCCAAGAAGGCCCTAAGTCGGCCCAGAGATGCCCCCAAGACGGCTTCCGACGTCGTCAGACGGGCCAGGAGCCCACCAAGACGGCCCAAGATGGCTCTAAGATGGCCTAAGACGCCTCCAAGAGAGCTCCCAGGAAGGCCCGAAGAGGCCAACATCATTGATCTTCCTGTGGTTTTTGAATGCTTTTGGCATTTGCTTCTTTCCGGCCTTCCGATGGCCCGATACGGCTCAAGAGCCCACAAAGATCACCCAAGAGGCCTCCAAGATGGCCACAGAACGGCCCAGGAGGCCCCCAAGACGGTCCAAAGACGGCCCAACGACGGCCCAAGAGGTCCCCAAGATGCCCAAGACAGTTTCGAAGACGGCCCTCGAGCGTCCCAAGAGGGCCCCGAACCGGCCCAGAGAGGCCCCCAAGATGGCTTCCGACGGCGTCAGGCGGGCCAGGAGCCCACCAAGACGCCCTAAGATGGCCTAAGACGGCCCGAGAGGCCTCCAAGAGAGCCCCCAGACAAGCCCGAAGAGGCCAACACCATTGATGTTCCTTAGGTTGTTGAAGGATGTTGACATTTGCTTCTTTTCAGCCTTCCGACGGCCCGAGACGGCGCTCAAGAGCCCCCAAAGATCGCCCCAAGCTCGCCCAAGAGTCCTGCAGGATAGCCCCAGAGCAGCCCAAGAGGCCTCCAAGGCGGCCCCAAAACGGCCCAAGAGGCCCCCAAGACGCCCAAGATGGCCTCCAAGACGGCCCTGGAGCACCTCAAGAGGGCCCCAAGTCGGCCCAGAGTGGCCCACAAGACGGTGTCCGACGGCGTCAGACGGGCCTAGAGCCCACCAAGATGGCCAACTAGGCTCCCGAGAAGCTCCCGAAGGCCCCCAAGAGGCCTCCAAGAGGGCCCCCAAGAGGCCTCTAAGAGGCTCCCAGGAAGCTCCCTGGAGGCTCCAAGAGTGTCCCCAGAGGCTCCCAAGATGCCCCCTCCTCCTCCTCATCCTCCTCCTTCTCCTCCACCTCCTCCTCAGCCTCCACCTCCTTTTTCCGCCGCCTCCTGATATTCCCTGCCATCCTCCCCCACGTGTTCCCCGAAGGGTTTCCACACAGGCTGGGGAAACACATGGTCCGATAGCTTGGAAGAGCTCTTGCCACAACGCTCGGCCACATGGGCGATTCTAGAAGACAGGGGGCGGCGGTGATTCGCCGTAGGCGTCTTCGATCTGCCGAGAATGCTGAAGTACCGGACAAGCATGGCTGGCGTGTTGAACGTCTGATTGTCTCGTTTTGATTACAGGTTCCTGCCTGCCTCTGGCCCAGCCCGCTAGCCACCGAGAGGGACCCCAAACTAAATCTCGCATTGCTCAACTTGCCCAAGACGGGCAAGATGGCCCAGGATGGTCTGGCAGATGCCTCCATATGGCAAACGATGGACACGATAGCTCCAAGAGATCCCAAGATGACCTCTAGATGTCTGCACCCAAGACGGCCCAAGCTGCCCATGAAGCTCACATCATCGATTGTCCGTTAGTTGTTCGGTGATTGCAGCATTCTCGCGCTCCAAGACGGCCCCATAGGCCCCCAAGATCGCCCCAAGAGAGCCCAAGAGGCCCCAGACGGCCCTACAGCGCCCAAAGAGGAACCCAAGACTGCCCAGAGAAGGCCCCAAGACGGCCTCCGAAGACCAAGGGATCCCATTGAAGCCACCAGAAGCCCCCAAGAGGCCCCCAGGAGGGTATTTTTGCATTCGCGGCGATAACAGACATTAGGGGGGGGGCGGGAGGGGGCCCAACGTAACGCCCCCGCCCCCCACTGTGACAGACTGTGGTGCCGAACTCACTGCGGCAGTTCCGGGGCGCTATTGAGGGGCGGGGGAGCGTTACGTTATGGGGGAGGAGAGGGGAAGGGGCATAACGCGCGTTGGAGGTCACCAAGAAGCTTCACGAGGCCCCCAAGAGAAGGGGCCCCTTAGAGGTCCCCAGGAGACTCCCAGGAAGCCCCCAGAAAGCCCCAGGATGGCCTCAAGAGACCTGTTCCTCCTCTTCATCCTCCTCCTCCTGCCTCTTCCTCTCCCACGTGTTCCCCTAAAGGGTTCCACAACGGCTGGGGGAGCGCGAGCATGTAGTCCAAGAAGCGTCGCCAGGTTTCGGCCCAATGTTTGGCCGCATGGGCCTTTCCCAAAGGCAGGGGGCGGCGGTGATTCGCCGTAGGCGTCTTCGATCTTACTCCGAGAGAATGAGCGCGCAGGGAGCAGACAGAAACCGCACGCTCATTTTCAACCACTAGCGCACCGAAGGAAACCTAGATGTTCGCCTGCTGCAGAAGCGGCGCCCGTAAATGGCGCGCAACACAGGAAAACGTGGCGCTGTCGAGAAGCCACCTCAGCAGGCCCACCGACTGGCCCGAAGAGCGCTCGGGATCTCACCACGGTCCGAAGAAGCCGTTGGCGTTCGCGAGCACCGAGCCGAAGAAGAGGATGGTGATCGAGATCACGTAGTTGTTCCCGCCCACGCCCCCCAGGCCCACGGGCGGCGGGGGCGTGGTCGTCACCGGCGGGCCGCCGAAAAAAATGCATCTCCACGGCGGGCGCGCGCTGCACCGCCCGGAGGCCCGCTGAGGCCGGGGACGAGGCGCCGACGAAGGACAGCACGAGGGAGCCCACCGACAGAGCGGCGAGGGCGGCGACAGCGCAGGCGATCAGCAGGGACGCGGAGCGGGCCATTGCGGCAGATGCGCGCCGAGCGCGGCACGGGGCTCTGCTTCCAAGAGATCGCCCGGGAGATGCTTCGGCCAAAACGGCTGCGCACCGTTGACGAACGGCCGCCCGGCTGACCGGCAGTCCGCGGGCGGCCCGGGTAGCGACACGGAGCGGGCGAAGGACGGCCGTCACCACATCGGAACGCACCGACGACTCCGATTCAGCAAACTCCTCGGCGCAGCCTTACCCGAGACGAACTTGCTTACGTACCCGCCTGCGGTAACAACGCCCCTTCCATGCACTCCCCTTTTAGGCATGACTCCTCTCAATACCACGTTACCCAGTTCGGGCTTGCCTAAGAAATGGGTCCCAATTGTATCAGTGAAAGACGGCATGTTACATGAACGATGTGGGCGACCACCTTGGGATATTTCTCGGCGCGGGCCCAGCATGCGCGCAAGTATGTGAGTATGGTCATGTGCTTGGTTGCAACGCGTTGCAGGGCACCCCACATGCACTGCGCGGCCATGCACTTGGAATGCGTTGTATGACTTTGCACGGTTGGGTTTTGCGTTACGCTGGCTCTGTGTTTGCAATCCGCTGCTTGGCATTGCCCCGCAGGCAATCCTAATTCAAGACAGACTGCCCTGGACTGCCCTGGAGCATCCCAAGAAGGCCCTAAGTCGGCCCAGAGAGGCCCCCAAGACGGCTTCCGACGTCGTCAGACGGGCCAGGAGCCCACCAAGACGGCCTAAGATGGCTCTAAGATGGCCTAAGACGCCTCCAAGAGAGCTCCCAGGAAGGCCCGAAGAGGCCAACATCATTGATCTTCCTGTGGTTTTTGAATGCTTTTGGCATTTGCTTCTTTCCGGCCTTCCGACGGCCCGAAACGGCCCAAGAGCCCCCAAAGATCGCCCAAGAGGCCTCCAAGATGGCCACAGAACGGCCCAGGAGGCCCCCAAGACGGCCCAAAGACGACCCAACGACGGCCCAAGAGGTCCCCAAGATGCCCAAGACAGTTTCGAAGACGGCCCTCGAACATCCCAAGAGGGCTCCGAGTCGGCCCAGAGAGGCCCCCAAGACGGCTTCCGACGGCGTCAGACGGGCCAGGGGCCCACCAAGACGGCCGAAGATGGCCCTAAGATGGCCCAAGACGGCCCGAGAGGCCTCCAAGAGAGCCCCCAGGAAAGCCCGAAGAGGCCCACATCATTGATGTTCCTTAGGTTGTTGAAGGATGTTGACATTTGCTTCTGTTCGGCCTTCCGACGGCCCGAGACGGCCCAAGAGCCCCCAAAGATGGCCCCAAGATCGCCCAAGAGTCCTCCAAGATGGCCCCAGAGCAGCCCAAGAGGCCTCCAAGGCGGGCCCAAGAGGGCCCCAAAACGGCCCAAGAGGCCTCCAAGAGCCCAAGGCCTCCAAGAGGCCTCCAAGAGGCCCAGAGCAGCCCAAGAGGCCTCCAAGAGGCCTCCAAGACGGCCCTGGAGCACCCCAAGAGGGCCCCAAGTCGGCCCAGAGTGGCCCACAAGACGGTGTCCGACGGCGTCAGACGGGCTAAGAGCCCACCAAGATGGCCAACTAGGCTCCCGAGAAGCTCCCGAAGGCCCCCAAGAGGCCTCCAAGAGGGCCCCCAAGAGGGGCTCCCAGGAAGCTCCCTGGAGGCTCCAAGAGTGTCCCCAGAGGCTCCCAAGATGCCCCCTCCTCCTCCTCCTCCTCCTCCTCCTCCGTCTCCTCCACCTCCGTCTCCTCCACCTCCTCCTCAGCCTCCACCTCCTTTTCCGCCGCCTCCTGATATTCCCTGCCATCCTCCCCCACGTGTTCCCCGAAGGGTTTCCACAAAGGCTGGGGAAACACATGGTCCGATAGCTTGAAAGAGCTCTTGCCACAACGCTCGGCCACAACGCTCGTTTTGGTTACAGGTCCC